CTCGAACTACACCTGCTACTATTTAATGCCTCTTAAAAAGCACAGAAACTACTCTAACGTAACATGCAAATGGTGACCACTTTTAACAATATTCCTTGATTAAGATGTGATTAAATTAGTACACTGTAACGAGTCAGTAAACCCGTAATTTCCTATGCAACAATCCCATGTATCGTCGCTAATAACCATGTATATGTATACAGTTGTCACGGTGATCAAACTCTTAAGGGGTCACATGTGGTCCTGAGGAAGAAAAAAGCGATTTTTTGAGAGTTTTTCAGAGAAAAGAGTGTGCATTTATTTTTACGAAACCTTTTGCATTTAATGAAGGCACACTGACATCCAAATGTCGGAAAACTTTAGTTAATCTATTGGTTCGTCTAGTCTTTAATTTATATGTAGAAAAAAATTGTTTGCGATGAAATGGCGGAGGTGGAAAATTAAGTAACCAATTTTTATTTAAAAAAGACGGCCATTTATCGACCACAAAATAAAAACTAAGCTTTGATAAATGAAATCCTTTAAATGGAGACTAGATTTTTATATCTAAAATGAGCCTTCAAAATTTGGAACGTGTCCGTTTAGGAGTTTTTGATTAATCGTAGTTACCGGGTTTGAAAATGTCGTTTTGAGAAAAACGCATTTAATGATTCAAAATTCAATTTACCTGTAAACCAAATATTTTTTTTAATTTACACTGGGTTATCTATTCCAAGCCCATATAATAGACGTTCTGCTGCATTGGCCGCCACCAAAAAGTTAATTTGATGCTGTCGAGTTTTTAAAAACTTCTAACCGCAGAAAACTTAAGAAAAAAATCTAACATTATTTTCTCTTATTCATGCTTTGGAATGTCAGTGTATCGGCTGAAAATGTTAGGAGGGCGAAAAACTTCCCCGACCCAAGTGACCTGAAACCTGTTCAAAAGTAATTGGTTCCTTAAACCAACCGTGATATCAAAGCGAATTGTCGTGGTCCCGGGTTTTCCAGTGCAACTAGCTGGATCACTTCCTGGGTAACAGCGACTGAAATGTTGCATTCCGTGCATACGGGGCGCGTGTGTTACGTGACGAACGAGCCGGGGACCTGTACGATAGTAAGGAAAAAAAAAGGATCAGTCGAAACCGACCAACCGTGAAAGTTAGTGGTTCGCCGGACCATTTACCCTGGAAACGCGCGTCCATATAGAAGCGCGTCGCGACGCGGCCGCCAGTTTCGTCCAGCTACCATCTCGAAATCACCTACACCTTCACTATGAAGTTTCTCGTGAGTACAAGCCGATTTTCTATCTTTTAGCCTTTATTTCGAATTATTTCGTTGCTTTTACTATTCTAACCGTTCATTTGCCAATGTATAAGACTCCATCAAATTTATATTCAAAATCCACAAAATTTACATTTCAAATTCACAAATGTATCTCTTAAATTTATTTAATTCTTTATTATATTGAAAGTTATGTTAAATATAAAAAGTTGAGTACCAATCAGGTGATTTGGTACTAAAATTTTGAAAAATTAAGAAATAGAGTTAGTCACTTTGTTCACCTGTGAACGGATCATTTTTTTGTCAATTACAATTGCAGTTCTGAGTGGTATTAACTAGTTTTTATCTTACATATATTGATGTATATTGATTGGCAAATACTTTTGGCAAATTACCATAGCAAATACTCTTTTTATCGTGTGTTAGAGAATGTGTGAATATTTCTTGAGGTCATTTCTTGTACATTCTGTGATTGTCACGGTGTTATGTTCCTCAGTAAATTTTAATCTTAATTGAGATTGAGTGATATTGTGAAAAATAGATCTGTGTGATTGGACTTTGACCATTTGCGTGTGACAGTGAACAAGATATTGACAAATAGGTTCACCTTACCTGGACCTAAGTTAAATTTACTTTACAGTCACTCATTCAGTCAGGGAAGTTATTTAGTGGTATTAATAATTACTAAATAATATTATTGTATATCCTGTATACTACTTAATATTAATAATAAAGAAAATACATGACATTTTAATTCTTGACTACTTTATACATCTGTATTAATATACAGGGTGTTAATAAAAATGTGGGAGATTTTCACAGGGTCGATTCTACCTGCAAAACTAAGACAAAAATCAAGATTGAGGGAATTCCGTTCGACACTTTGTTTCCGAGATATTAATTGTTGAAAATACGGGCGAATTGTCTGTAAAATACGGCTGACACGGCGGGTTATTATACTTGAGAGGCACGCTCTTCAATTATTTCACGTGTTGGTGTAATTCATTTAATTGTATTTCATTCTAAATTTAACCAGGCCATCGTATCGGTTGATATCGTGTATTAGCTGAGAATCGACTATTATAGATAGTATAATCAATTGCGCCAGGTGTATGTATTTCACGGGTATTTTGCCTGTATTTTTAACAATTAATATTTTGAAAACAACGTCTCAAACGCAATTTCGTCATTCTTGATTTTTCATAGTTTTGCATGTAGAATCTGCCTTGTTAAAGTGTCCCACATTTTTATTAACACCCTGTATTTTTGGAGTAATATATAATTTCCGTCTCTTGACATATTAACAATCAGTTATGGTTTTTATCTGCTTTTTAAAATAGGATTTACTAAACATAAAGAATTTTTAATTATTGGCAAGGCGTTTTATTCACTTATACCTAACCTCGTTGTAGGTTAACTATACCTGCAGGCATAAACAGATATTAGACTTCATAGGTACCTACTTACTTACTTATTTACATACGACAGTACATATATCTAGACCCCAGAGCCAAACTGTATTAAGTCCATTTTTTTGAAAAATGACATTTTACATGTTTTCTGTATCAAATTCTTCACTCCTTCCAAAGGTAAAAATGATTTCGTTCCAAGTCGTTTAGTTTTTAATATAGTATTATGTTCATATTTTGTTCCGAGCCAAACAATGTAAAGTCCATCACATAGGGCACGTTCACCAATTCTACATATCCAGACTTTTCTTAAGTCCATTCAATCGTTCGAAGGTAGCGTTTTGTTTCTCCTTGAATTCTTACCCAAGCTTTCCAAAACGACAAGGTTTTTATAACTTTCATTTGCTCTTCTCTAAAGTTTGTAAGTGTTGTAGACTCTGGGATCGAGATATTTTATATTCCTCTACAACAAATTGGCTGTAGAAACAACTAAAATTACTCTACGATACTTATGCTGAAGACATTTTACTTAAATAACTGCATGAAAATTTATTTAAAACATTCAGAAGTGGTAAATCCTAACATTAATGGCAGTAATGACCGGTTGTCTATAAGAAATCATACTATGAGCTGGTAAGACAGTTGAAAGTTAAGCACTTAGCAATAATTTGTTCCCTACCAAAATTTATAACAACACATTTCTTCGAAATACACTATGACATATATGTATATTTAATTATCAGCACTTAAGTGGCTAAAATGATCTTGTTGTATACCATATTAGTGAAGAAATCTGATCGAAGAAATCCCATAAGAAATTGTATAGTTTCATGACTATTAAGAACTTCAGGGTACTTTTCATGATTTCCTGTAATAAGAGATTCGTGTTTGGTGTCGGTCAATGCGACACAAAACAATTGGAATTGAAAAAAAGAAGTAATTGTAATAATGTTACCTTATTAACGTAGTAGATCAAATAAAAGGTTTAATTACTTGTAGCCAGTAAATGGTCTAATTCATTTTTAAACAGAAAAATTCTAGTTACACGTACCTATGTCAGTTTCTTAAGGCTATTAAAGTTTCCTAAATTATCAAATTTGTAATCAAACGTTTGAAAACGTATGTGTTCCTTCCGATTTCTTTTAAACGTCTGATTACAAATTTAACAATTTAGGAAAGGTTTTAACTATTTCTACTACTAGGACTTACAAACACTGCAGACAATAAAACAGATTATTTTTATATATTATATCTATTTTAGTATCAGATTAATACAATAAACTATCAAATTAAATTATTCCCTCGCTTGTACAAATAAATTGTCACCTACTATATGTATTTCACGTGAACGGTACTATATTAACGGATAAAAAAACAAGCTTCCGCTGTCTCTTCTTCTACATAAATCTTGCAAAAATACGTGCAATACTAAAAAAGACCAAACAGTACCAATAACTGACTTTCTAGTTAAGAGGAAATGCATGGCGTCATACTGACCTTAATCGGTGGAAATCGTTCTGACCGACATTATTTCACATAAAATTTCTGTCTTCGATCGTCAATCTTAAACCTCATTGGTATTTGAAAGGTGTGTACCTATCGGATGCTTTCATCTTCTCGCTTCATGAGAACCAGGCGTGATGTCGTAGCTTTATCCATACGTGTGTATGCAATACGCAGTAGTGTGCATCGTGAGAAATCGGCAAAGTGCATTACCTAGCTTTCTCAATCGAGATCGATTCTTTTTACTGCCACCTGGAAATATGAGGCACACGCGAACATTTGTTCATATCTTATAAAACTCTGTATTGGTAGAAATGATAGTCCCGAGATAAAACGAAATAGAAACAAAGTGGGCCAAGTTAGAGAGTGAACTTTTATGATCTCGCGTTATTAATTTTTCTGTTTGTCAATATTCATTCCATGACGGGAAATAGAAACTTCGAGAGAGTTCACACTACACACATTTTCTTATATAGGGTAGTGGAGTTTAATCTCTTAAACATTTTATAGTCAAATAATAAATATCTACTGCTTTTATGGAGTACAATTATGTAGTAGACTGCGTAATAATTATAAGAATAATAGTTTCAATTCTTGGCTGCGGAAAAATACTTTGAAAAGAATTTACAGTGATAGGTACATGTGGATACTACATTTTTTTTATAACATTATGGTTTTTATTACAAATACTAGAATCTTCTTATGAATACGTGAACTTATGAAATATTACTGAATGGTAATCACCAGACCTTTTAATCAATCTGATTAACAATTTTACTATTTCGTTACTAGATTAGTTAATGATTTTAACTAATATTTGAAATTATGAATGAATTCCAGGTTTCAATATTATCTGTGGTGCTAATTGGTGCCACTACAGGTGTATTTGGTGACCTCTTGGGACAAGAACTCCAAAGCATTGGTAAAACATATTTCGTCACAGTATTCCTAAATTTAAGTATAATACTTCTAAATATTTCTTGAAGTTAAAATTATCCTGTCAAATTTATTATAATCTGTGTTTAACATTAATTAATGAATAACATGCAGCTCTTCTTTAATTAAATTCTATATTACTTTCAATACGCATATTAAAAATATTGTTAGTTACTGTCGTTTGTTTACATAAAATTTAGATTATAAAGGAATGAACAGGATACAGTTGAGAGAGATAAAATAATTAGTTAATACACCGAGAATATTTCTGTATAATCACATTTTTCTGAGTATCTTACATTGATATTGCAAATAAACTCATGTAAATTGAAAACTTCTCTAAATTATTGTTGAGCCTGTTATTTTCGTATGTTACATACATATCTGCATGTTCTAAACAAACTAGGGGTGTTTATGCAGATTCACAGTTGTAAAACAGTCGTGAAAGTTGGACAAAATTGTATGCCATGCAGTAACGGGTTTAATATATTTAATAATATATACACAGCATTAAACTTTATTAAAATGCCTCTATTTGTAACGTTTTATATTTCAGAAAATCCTCTAAATGCATAGACATTTGTAGTTTAGTTATAATTGTATAAAATCCACAGCCTATTAATCAATCTTAGTATTTATTAATTTTTTAAGTAACTAGTGTTAAAAAAATCTTTGGTTCACGCCACATGTCAATCAACAATCAACGAGTTCATTTTAACGCTTTGATTGTCAAACGAGCATCCATAAGACTTCCAGTGTGCTAAAATCTTTTTCAAAAACAAGATTAAACTTTTTTACAAATTCCGATCTGCCATAGTCACTATTCTTTAAACTTTCATGAATCTCGTGGACCCATACTGGGTTCCACAAAAACAGATACTTGTTCTGAGCAGCTTGTCCCTATGATCTTCCTTAAAGTGGCGGGATCTTCACGAGCTCTGCTAGGGGTACGTTGTAGGGGATGTGTACAGTGGTGACAGAGCCAATGAATTCATGACAACCAGCGTCCACTGCGGAGAAACTACGAAAACTGATCGACAATTAAGTACCTTCTCTCGTGGAATGGAGTATAAGTTAAATGTGTTTCACGTCTCGTTTCGTTACAGACTAATTTTCACCACCAGACGTAAGAATAGTATCATCTATTTGCGTGTAACATGGCAGTCGAAAGTGTTATATCATCAATTAAGCAGTTACAAATTTTTTAATTAGCCCCTTTAAATTTCAGACCATGTTCGTGCGAAAAGGCAACTTCAAAACTACGCTCAAAATTACGCTCAACTGAACCACGGACCGTCTAATATACAGCAACTGTTGCACGCTCAAAATTCACGTGCTCCTCTGGTGAATATTCCACCACAACCAATTCCGAAGCTAGGACCGTCCCAGCCCATCAGGCCCCAGACCATACCTCAGTCGCAGGTCTCTCAGTACCAACCGCAAGTTACTGTCGGGAATGCACCCCAGCAGCCGATTTACAAAAAGCCAATCCTCCCTCAGCAACCGCAATACCGTCCCCACCCTGCTAATTACGCTCAGCGGCCAGCACAACCGAACTACAATGTGCCGCAGCAGCCGCAATACTCTTCTAAGTTGCCGCCTCATATTCAACAATTGTTGCAGTTCCAAAGAAGCTTGGGCGAAGGCACCCCTAACAGAGTGTAGCCGAGAAATTATCATGGTGTGACGTTTTGATGAGAAAGAATTTGATAAAATTTTCGAAAGCATATTGGGATTGAAGCTTTACTGGTAATAATAAGGAGTTGGAGCTTTGTTCGTAATAAGAAGAAATTCAAGCTTTATTGATTAAAGTAAAATTGGTCTAGTTTTAGTACATATTTGAATCTATGTGCACCAATTCCAGCGTGTTGGAATAGTTTGTTGATACAAAAAAATATTATTTAATTATTAAAGTCGATGCATGATGTTCTTGAAACGAAATTCCTTACCTCGCTGTAATTGGTGATTTAATCGAGCTATGTTTGCAGATGTTCGTTAGAAAAGTCGTTATGCTCATCATTTTGATTCCTTGTACTTTCATTGTTTGTCACTTATCATTGTATGTTTACCTTTGTTAAAGTAAAATCGATTTTATAACAGCGAATACTCCTTACAACTTGTACTTACTACTTACCTGTTAGTAAGTTCGTCATCGATCTCGAATTTGGAGTTTAAAAATGTAGAACATCTTTTTTATGAATTTCGCAGAACTTTATGCGTCAGAAATTTCATATAAGATATCTGTATAAACCTACGTTGTAGAAAATTGTTTTTTATAGATTTAACAAATGCTCGGTTGGGATTTCATGTTAGTTAAGAAGAAGTGTAATCATTGAAGGGTGCGATTTATACTGTTATTTATAAACGAGAAAATAGATTGAAATGGGTATTTATGTAATAATCATAATTGCTGCTAGAAAAATGTGAATACACTATTGTTCACCTTATAAATGTCTACTGTTTTTATTTTCACAACCACGAAAGCATTTCCATTTAGATACCTTACTTGCATAATAAAATTATTTTCACTATATAAATTTCACTATTCGTAAATAATTATCTTCATAAAATTCAAATATGTAACTGTGTCCCTATTCATGAATATGTATTTATATCTACAACTAGAACCTATTTAGGGGTAAATCCAGAATTGAATAAGAATAAAACCAGTTTATGTGAATCTATAGCCTATTCTATAATCTACTCAGTGGCCTATTTTTGCTAGTTATAAATTCAAAATGAGTTCCTTGGTATAATTAATATCGTCTCCGGAGTTCATACATCAAATGGGCGTTCAAATCATTAAAGCCAACTTCATAAATCGACGTTTGTAACTGTTCTTGCCATAATTATACAGGTTAGGTTTAATTTGTTTGTATCTTTTTTAGTGGATAATTGTTAATTGTAAATTATCCAGTGTAAAAATCCGTAGTATAAAAAAATGTTGATATAAAGACGAACAGAAAAAAACAGTAATGCAATGACACGATGGCCAAGTCGTACTCAAACGTACCCTATCCGATTAATCTTCAAATTCGATTTTCTCAAAAACGAAACTTCAAAGGAAAAAATTTTATATCAAAATTCTTTCTCATTTTTTCATGTAACATAACTCACTTTCTGATTGTACTACGATTTCCGACCCTTCCTGCATCTGGACATCAGACAATGAAACGTTAAGTTTCTTTGCAAATAATGCTTATTGGCAAAAACGCTTGGATATGCGTCTGCTTAATTTTGCTCTAGATTTACCAGAAAAAGGTTGATTAAATTCGATGACGCCACAGCTATGACCACTTCTTGTGGGTGTATTGTAACGTAGTTTGAAATTTAATTTAACTCTACGTTAGTACCTTTCAATACCCCATATTCAAAATTTCTTTTTAAAAGAAGTAAACGGTTTTTTTACATTCATATATTGCTCCAAAATATGCCTCATTTCATTCTGGAACATATTAACCTTGCTATTCTTCTCGGGTCTATATGTATTACCCGAAATGAAGATACTATTTCAATAGATTTCTAATACAGTATTCCAATTCGTACAATTTAAGGAATTTACAAATATTTACAAATATTTTGATTACACAAGGACACAACTATATAGTAGGAATACGAATACCTTTTGTGAGCTTCATTTATATTACTATGAATTTATATGTATACTATATTACTATGCGTTTTTATTTAAATTACAGTGAATTGTTATTTTTCAATAAACGACGCATCGTTTAAAAGCTTCGTTATTGCACCAGAATCCATATTGATAAACATTTCAGAATATATATTGTTAAAGAATTATTAGTAGAAACAAGTATTTTTAGTATCTATTTTTACCAATTTTAGCATTATCTTCTTCTTGTTAACGTTTTGTAGCAGTGTAAAAATTGCAAAATAAAGATCAATTTAAATAATTATGAACACAATTTATTATAATACAATTTATTACCTAACATAACAATTAAAAAATAATATAAAGTCATGGCAGTACATGGCATGAATTAAGAAATAACAATATAGAAAAATAAAGAATTGTAAAATGAAAATAAAAATAAATTATAACATTAATTTAAAATTTATTAAAATTAAGCATAGAACATGTTTCTACATGCGACTCTTCTAAATTAGTGCGACGATCAGTTACGACTAAACTGTATTTATTAAAAAATCTTTCTCCGTTCACACTATTTACAGGACACCAAATTGATTTTATAGCAGCACAACCAAACTCCTCATGTCTAATTTGTGTTGTCATTAATAATTGTAGTACATCGGGTTTAAACCACTTTTTATATTTGCTGCAAGTTGTTGAAAAAATGTTCATACCCTGCTAAGCATTGTGTATATTTTTTCTCACAAGCATATATATTTCTTTTAAAAATGAACTAATTGTAAATTGTGCTATGATTACAGAATCAATTCGCATATTTTACGAATTTCTTATTTTTTAGCATCTATTCTAAATGTTAGCATTTAATTAACATTTATCGCGAAATCCTAAAAATACGTATCTCTAATTAATTATTAGTCATTCGAATTCAAGAACTGCGAGGGTACGAATACATCTGCGACTCACTGTATGGGGCGCTGGTAGCGAACGTGTTAAATAATATTGTAACGTGTATTTGTAACGTAACCACCTTCATTCTCAGAATCCTTCAAATCTTCCTTACCACTCTTCGTAACCTATCCCCGACAAAATGCATTGTCGATCGAAGAACAATCTTCAACATTGGTAAAGATACTCGATTACCCATCCGGAACGAAGGGGTTCAAGGCAGCCCGGGCATTACGTCAAATTACGTCGTTAAACGCGCCGCGGCGCATTAAGCGCATTCAATTCGTCACTCGAGAAATCAAGGTATCATCGCACCGATGAATCCGCACAAGGGGCGTTTCTGCCGTTCCGGGGTCGTGGCGGGACAGACAGCCGATCTCTACCTCCCCCTTGTCGCCACCGCGACAATCCACGCGTTGCAGTCTCCGAGCATAGAACAGCCCTAAACTGCGCCCGTACCGCAGTCACACCACCCCGCCCCGAGTTTTACCTCTGTGCGTGCCTTGAATACATCGCTCCCCTCGGATGGACTCACCGACAAACAGGGAAGAGGATTAGCGAGTCCATTAAAGTCGCGGACTCTATTATCCAGAGGGCACGGCCACGGTGACATCAACCGACTGTCAGTGGCGTAGGAACGGGGCTTGTTTTCTGGCAAACATGATTTTTTTTTCTTTCTTCAGGGTATGATGTTTTTATTTATGCCACGCGATGTGTATGTTTTTTATTGAATAAGGCATATCGCTGAATTTGTTGTGACAAGGACATAACTCAAAATTTGCAGTTTTCGAGTTATTAGTATAGATCAGGGGTCGGAAACTGCGGCTCGCGAGCCAAGTGCGGCTCTTTGGGTACTTACATGCAGAGATGGGCAAATTCATTATCTAGATAAAAAGTTTCGAATAACGAACAAAAGATAAAAAAAGTATTTCGTCATTTTTAATTGTTTGAACGTGGAATTTTCAATTTTTATA